GGGGGGGGGGGGGGGGTTTTTTTTTTTTGGGGCACCTGGGGGGGGGGGGGGGGGGGGGGGGGGGGCTCAATAACGACGGTTTGTGCCCGGCGCATCGACGGGCGCTAGCCAAGAGGGGCCGGCGCTATTCAACGTACGGAATATCTTGGTGATTTGGTCTGTGTCCAGCAATTTCATTGGCGCTATGCATGTGTATAGAAGAATTCGAGAACAAACGAGTTGCCGAGGCGGCATACGGACGTTTCGAAAAAGCATCTCACTGGTGGGTAGCCTGTAAACCACCTTTTCTGGTCGCCAAGAACACGTGGGGAAGTGCACAATGGCGCTATTACACCATTTTTTGGTCTCGAAGGGGATCAAGTGAAACTAATCGAACCACTTTGCCGCTGCTGCCTGTCGTGTGTCTTTCCCCCCACTGTGTGATATATGTTACCGTTTACTTACCCCCATGTCGGAGCGACCGCCGGGTACGGGCTACCACCACCGCGGATATCAGTAGCCCAACCATCCTCCACCAGCGCCGTCCCAATTACTTTTGACAAAAATATGCAGGTTCCGGCGGTGCTATACCCACGGAGCACAAAAAACAGTAGAACACACACATTGATACAGCGATGTACCATGCACGCATACCATGGTATGCGCAACACCAACAGTCGAACACACAGGGTACTCCTAACGCCGGAAAGACAAGCCAAGACCGTCTGGACTGGACTGGACTGGACTGGAGTCTACTGTGACTGACTGACTCACCGTCTCCTCGGCCTTGCCCTTAGACTGACCACCCTTCTTCAACGCAGCCAGTCGACGCTGCTGCTTCTCCCACTCCTTCGCCTGCAACACGCAAAAACGACATGGGGGATCAATTCGGCCGGCACGTATGTGTGTGGGGGGTACTGAGCGGCACGCAGTGGTGCAGGAAGTGTGAGGGCTACAACGAACTTTGAAAACACAAAAACAACAAGAAAGCGGCCTCCCGCCCGTTCCCCCATCTCTTCCTTCTTCTCAGCGCTTCTCGAGAGGGCGTAGGGTGTGGTACATCGTACGTATTCCGCATACGACAAATTATCAATGAAGTGGGTAGGGAACGAGAGAGAGAGACACATACAGGCCACACAGACCACAAGACAGACAGACACACACAGCGAGAGAGAGAGAGAGAGAGAGAGAGAGAGAGAGAGAGAGAGGGACAGGAGACAGAGACCGAGGGCACTCGTTCCATCCCGTTCACTCGAGCGCACCTGCTGCCGCCGCTTTTGCGCCTCCATCTCCTTGAACTGGTCGTAGTTTCCCTTGTACTGGTTGACCCTCTGGTGGTCCAGGTGGAGGATCTCCTCGCAGACGCTATTCAAGAAGTCTTGGTCGTGAGACACCTGAAAAATGTAACAGTAGAAATACAAGTTGGTCATCATACAACACGTTGGATTCATTGCCAATCTATGGGCTCTTTATCTGTGGGAAGATATGAAACTTGTGTTTTGAAAAAGAAAAAAAGGAAATAAAAAATCTCTTCGAGACGTCTTGGTCGTGAGACACCTAACGTAAACCGTAGAAATACAAGTTGGTCATCATACAATACAATTAATCATTGTTCATCTATCCCGGACTCTGGTGTGTACCAGAAATGAATTCGTTGTGTTTTTGAAAAAAAAAATCGAAAACGAAAGAAAGCGCTCTTCAACAAGTCTTGGTTGTGAGACACCGGAAAGCAAAGAAATGAAAGAAAACATCAAACAACCAGAGAAGAGAAACGCTGTTCAACAAGTCCTGAAAGCAGAGAGTTGAAGGGAAAAGAAACACAGGAAGACAAAAGAATACTCTAGCCACGAAGACGCTCTCCAAGAAGGCTTGGTCGTGAGACACCTGAAAGCGAAGAGTTTAGAAGTGAAAATCAAACAATCAGACAAGAGAAAACGCTATTCAACGAATATTGGTTGTGAGACACATAAGAATTAAACGACACCTGAACACCTGAAAGCAAGCGAAGAGTTTAGAAGTGAAAATCAAACAATCAGACAAGAGAAAACGCTATTCAACGAATATTGGTTGTGAGACACATAAGAATTAAACGCAACCGTAGAAGTGCGTACAATATGGTCATCATACAAACCATTGCGAATCTATCCCGGGCTCTTTTCCAATAAGAATTTTTGTTGTGACTACGAAATATATATATATATAAAAAAAACTCACCACAAGCAATGTCTTCTTCCACTTCTGCAGGTAGTCGTCCAGCCAGATGACGGCGTTGAGATCGAGGTGGTTCGTAGGCTCGTCGAGCATGAGCAGGGTCGGCTCCATAAAGAGGGCTCGCGCGAGGGAGATGCGCATCCTCCACCCTCCCGAGAAGTGCTTCGTGGCCTTCACCTGTCGGACGGCCGCACAAACAAACCAAGCGTTGCTGTTACTGCTGCTGCTGCTGCTGCTGCTGCAATATTGCTGTCGTCGTTTGGTGTACAGTAAGCAGCCCGATAGAGCAGTGGCAACTCTAGCAGTGGAACTGCCGATATATACATAAGTGTTATCAAAATCTCGTGCCACAATCTCAACCCGACATAGATCTCGTGCCACAATCTCAACCCGACATAGCGGCATTATACACACCACATCGGTCTCACTTGTGTGCCTACCTCGCCTGCGCGGAGTGTGCTGCCTTGTAGCAACGACGTTGCGGGTCTGTTTGCTGGTCACGCCCACACACCCCTATGCTACGTGTACTCAGCACTACACCACGGATGGATCTGCGGATATTTCGTGCATCATGTTGGAAATGTATTTGTAGAAGGGAGATCGATCCCCCTCCTGCTTTCTGCCGTCCGTGGGCCAACGTGCCCTCTTCTCTCGTTGACAACCAAGGTCTTGAGCCAACATTTTTTTCGCGGCTCTGACGGGAAGCAAGCCCCCCCTACCCAACCAAGCTGCTGCTGTACCTGCATGATGTCGTCGAATCCGAGACCGAAGAGGATCCTTCTGGCTTGGGCTTCGGCCCCGTCGCCGCCGGACGAGTGCAGCTCCTCGTGCACCTGGGCGACGTCATTGTTGTGGTTGTTGTTGTTGCTTTTGTTCATGCTGTTGTTGTTATTGTTGCTGTTGTTCCTGCTTTGTTGTCGTTTCAAAAAAATAAGGTCCCGACATCTGCTCGGTAGAATACCTTCCAGCTTCCGTTCTGGTCCTATTGACAACCGAATACGACAGAAGATAACACACCCCCTGGACCGATTTTCAAAGCTCGATTTCTCGACAGCAGAGAGGGTCAACAGCGCCGAAAACGGCGTCGTTGAAGCCGCCTTGTCGAGAGCTTTCCGGAAAAGTATCGTTTCGTTTATGAATGTTCTTCGTCGTGGCGTAATCGAGCGTTGAAAATTGGTCCAGGGGGTGTGTTATCTTGAGTCATATACGGTAGTGACGCGGACGCCTTCCTTTCGTCGTGACAGGAGGGAAGCTAACGACATGTGCCCCCAAGAAGGCTACAGCGCCACAATTGAATAGGAACAACAAGAAAAACACCAGGAAACAACAGCAGTAGCAGCGACGTCAACAAGAATGCTGGAACGCGACGCCGCGATAGCATGACGCGACAACAACACCGGCCGACGAGGTGACCACAAAAAGTTGTGGTAGTGTGTGTCATAGGTCCTCGATTCACTCACTGGGAGAACATCATCAAGGTAACGACCAACGAGTTAAACGACAAACACAAAACACTAACAAACAGTACTGACACCCTCGGAATACTATTCGTAGAGGCACCAAATTGTCCCAAACACACACGACTAGGCGTAGCACGGCGTAGAAACAACAGCAGTGAATTTCGGCATTCTCTTGCTGGGTAGAGGGGTGTCAAGTGTGTTTGGGTGGGGGGGCTGCCATGCACATCGACCAATGTACACCGCCGTGTGGCGATAAAAGCAACACAATAAAAACAAAAAGAGGTACAAGTATGTACCTGTTGCAGCCGATCGTTCAGTTTGTCGTTCTCTGGATCGTCTCTCAGCAAGCGGTTCACTTTCCTCTCTTCCTCCATCAGGTTCCACCTTTCAAGTCCCAGAACATGTGCATACGCATCGGGATCGATTGCTTATTTCTTTACGCAGGCAGAATCGAAAAGCTGGGCCTGTGCGAAGCAAGGCACACGTGTTCTTGGATGCTGATTTGGGCAGTGCAGGTAGTTCCCTCCGACCGATCGATCCATGTCAATCGCGATTTATGCACAAAATGGTGGGGGGTGGGAGAGTAAGCTGTCGTCCATCAAGGGTTCGCTACTAGTCTACCACATCCGCCATCACGAACAAGCGTGGTGGGGGGGTCCACGGGCGGAGTAGCTTGCCGGTATGTGTAGATGGTGCCGATGGCTCGAGACACGGGGCAATCAACCTTCCGGAGTCTATTATAGTACACATCCCCAACGCTTTGATGTGTGTTAACGCGTATGCGTGCTGTGATGTCACAACTTCTCTTACCGACTAGTGCGGTGTGACAATAGAAAAAAAACAAAACAGCAGAAGCAGCAGCAGCAGCAGCAGCAGAAGTACCCCAAGCTGCGGGCCCAAGACGGCACACGCTCAGGCTACAGAACCTCCTTGAGCAAATCTTATATACTTGTAATTGTTTTTTCTTCTTGCCTGGCCTTGTCGGCCTTCATGACGGCGATTACCGCCGGGGTGTCGTCGGCCACCACCTCCTGCTCCACGTACAGGCAGTCGATCCTGACCAACGGAGGACAAAAAGCAAAAACGAGAGGCAACAACACAAGCTTGTAAAAAAAACTGCCGGTTTTGTCAAGAACAAAAGAAAAAAATCGGGACGGGGATTACGTTTGTATCAAGCCTCCCCACAGAGAATGTGGTACCATTTAGTCAGCTACAAAATCACATTGAAGCGATTCGCGCGTGTCCTCCGCGCCAGAGAGATTGGTCACGCAAAACAAAAAAGCCGTCAGTGGCTCTGCTGGCGGATCGCAAGTTCACTCCCGTTTTTTTTTGTGGACCTGAAACATCTACACCACACGGCGTTATTTCTTCCTGAAACGGTCAAAACAGAGCGAGAGCGCTTGGTCCCAACACTCTGCTTCCAGCCAGGTCCCTTCCATTATTTATTCCGGGTCCTTTAGAATAATATATTTCCAGGTCTTTTAGGTCGGTGTTTCGCCTCTTCACGGGGATCCGTGACACCGGTCGGCGGTGCAAAACCCACGTGCTACGCATGCATGCATGCATGCATACCTCGGGGGAATCTTGAGCTCTCCCGAGGCCATCATCTTGAGGAGGGTGGACTTCCCCGCCCCGTTGGGGCCGACCAGGCCGTACTTGCGTCCGTGCACGATCTGAAGGAGGCACCAGCAACAACGCGGACAAACACGCCCGCGAGTAGACACAGTAATGACAGCAGTGGGTGAGAACCTTGGTTGTTCGAACAAATGCAGGCATTGTCGCTTTTCTACTGCTGCAAACCCAGCACCATTGGAAGTGTTCTTGCTGAGGTATGCGCGGAGGGTCCGGAAGTCGGAGACAAGATGTGGTTTCGGAAAGCAAGACGAAAAAAAAATCCGTTCTGCTCATCGTATACGACGCAAGATATCACACACCCTGGACCGGATTTCAACGCTCGATTTTTCCACGACGAAGAGGATGCGTACACGGAACGATACATTTTCGGAAAGCTCTCGACCAGACGTCGGCGCTGACTCTTCCTGCTGTTGAGAAATCGAGCTTTGAAAATCAGTCCAGGGGGTGCGTTATCTGGTGTCGTATACGGTATGTCTTTGAGGACCCAGGAATTGGAAAACATGTTAGCTCACCCCTCGTAGCGAAAAATAAACTTACGGACCGTACTGATCTTTTGAGTCGAAATTTGTTGCACAAAACATCGGGGTACAGCCTTCTAGAAATTGAGCACAGGTGTGCACTCGTAGGCTGAGCGAATGAAGCCCTGGTCCATGCAAATCACTACGGTAGACCGTACGTCCATAGGAAAACCTTGAGAGAGCGGTGGTTCCTCGTGCGGGTTTCTCGTGCTGCAACGAGTGCACACGAACGACAAGCAACAGCGACGCCGACGGCTGTGGCGAGAATAACGCCACCTTTGACACCAACAACAACAACACCATCGACAACATATACGAGAGACGGGGAGATAGAGAAAGAGAGAGAGACAGAGAGACACAGAGAGAGAGAGACAGAGAGAGAGAGAGAGAGAGAGAGAGAGAGAGAGAGAGAGAGAGAGAGAGAGAGGCAATACATGTCCCCCTTTACCTGGAGGGGAGAGTCCTTGAACAGGGTCTTGTCGTGAGCCGAGATGCTGAAGGCTTCGATCGTCACGTCCAGCGAGTTGGCCCATTGCTGATCTCCGGCGGTCACCGCCGTCTGCGAGCACCCGAACTGAGCCCCGTCACGGTGGGCAGCCTCCTCCATCTCCTCCTCCTTCGCAGCTCGCCGACGAGCCTATTTTTTATTACGTTGTGACGCAAGGAAGGCGTTGATTCACACACGAGATGGACAAAAAAAGCCGGCAGCGGTGGCCGCCCCTCCGCCCGCGCTCGACTCAGTTGATCAGGGACACCGGTGTGGACGAAAATGACACGGGTTGACAAAAAAAAGAAAAGGAAAAGTTGCAATTGATGGGTTTTATTCGAGAGAGGCATTCAGCGCAAAGAGAAAGGGATGCAGAGATACCCCAACTATGGGGAGGTAGGGGGGGGGTGGGGCAGGGGATACGCCAGCTTTATTTGTCCCTATCTTCTTGTTAAATAGCACCCTCAGATGCATGCAGCAGCAGCAGGAGCACAGAATAGCCATGCGCACATATGGGTATGCGAAAAAAAAGGGAGGGTTGCCAACGATTTGTAGGTTGCACCACGGGTAGAGCGACACAACTCAAGTGCACGTGTTACAGGGGAGGAGGAGGATGACACAAAAAAGTTACGTACGTGCATCAAAGGACAATAATTCAACAGGAAAGGGCTTCGAAAAAACATGAGAGTCCCTCGTACCTCGATGTCTTGAAGAATCTTCTTGCGCTGGCGCGCGGTGGCGGTCTTGCCTCCCGCCTCTGCCGCAGCCACCTGCAAATACGACGACAACGAAGACATATTAAAGTGCGAGAAGGGGGAACGGGGAAAGAGCGTCGATCAGAGATAGGAGAGAAGAAACGGCACCCGTATGCAGCGGAATGCTTTGGTGTAGCTGACAGTCAGATCCCGTGGTAGCTCATAGCAGAGTAGCTAAATACATGTACGCGTGTGTGATTTATTACCGTATAAAATAACCTGCCTCTGTAGGCCATCCTGAACTCGTTAGAAACAACAAGAGGTGTCATCGCCAATATTCTCGTCTGCACTATTCTCTATCCGTCCCTTCCTGTGGTTCGGCAGTGTGATATCTTCCTCTGTTCTCTCTCTCTCGCGATCAACCAAGAGGCTGAAGATCTCTAGTCCGCCGTCCCCCCTCCACCCCACACGACGACGACCCGCGCCAGCCTGTCATACCGACTACAAGAGCCTGTCGCCCCGACACCCCCCCCTGGTCTCTCTCCTGCGAGCCCTCTCGGGATCTGAACAGAGAACCTGCGTGGGGGCTAATCATTCAAAGTAGTACAAACAGAAGCAAAACGCGACCGGACTCTCTTTTCTCTCTCTGCCATTCTCCCTCTCCGCCCCGCGCCTTTTCTCTCAGTCTCTCTCGCTCTATATATATATATATATCCCTCTCCCTGTCTCTCTCCCCAGTCTCTCACCAAGCGAGCGAGCTCCTGCTCGACCGTCTCCTTCGCCTTCGCCCCGCCCTTGGCAGCCCTACTAGCCTGCTCCTCGTGGTCGCTTCCGTAATACGCCCCGTCGTCCAGGTCCTCGAGGATGCTCTTCACCTGTGCACACAACACAGGCCGTGCAGCACCATCCGGGGGGACAACCATAAATATTCATGTTCACAGGAGGGAAAAATAGATGATCCGACAGGGGCTTGCAGACCAAGACAAAAACACAGCTACTTGTATTAGGTATCATCTTCTCCGCGCACTACTGCTGTTCGCAGAAAGATCGTAATGATGAAAACAGCAGCAGTCTCGTGTGCGTGTTGATCGACAACGCTAACCGACGCCGAAAGGTGTGAATGCGACTCTATCCGAATGACAAATAGCGCTGTCATTCCCTGGTGCATACGTGGGCAGGGATAATCGTCCAGCCAGGTGGACCGCACAAGAGCAAACGGCCAAGAGACGGGATATTCAGAAAAAAAAATAGAGATGCTATGAAGGGGAAAACGAAAAGAACAATGAAACACGCAACAAGGGGCGAGAAGAAACCAAAAAAGCCACGTGGTCGACAGAGAGGAGCACAGGTCAGTGTAACTATGACATGTTTGCCCGGCATCGTCCCGTGGCCCAGGAACTGGGCCAAGATGGAACTCCGGGATGTTTCGGTGTAATCATCCCTGTGCTCTCCCTGCCTCTCTCCGACCATAACCCCACCGCTACTGTCCGTAGTATAAGCGAGAGAACAAAGTATTCCGAACAATGCCGTCTCTCTCTCTCCTACCATACCCCCACCGCTACTGTGCGTAGTACAAGCAATGACAAAAACTCCTATTTTTCATGAGACATGGCACACCGACCAACCACATCCCTCGAAGCCAACCCTGGTAGACGGGAGATCAGGCAAAAAGCGAAAGCGCCATGAAGGAGCCAAAGGGCACCACCCCCACACCAAGCCAGCTGACTCGGCTGGTTTGGTGGAGAAGTGCAGCCGACCAACCAAGCAGACAGGCCGAGACGTGTACGAAGCAAAATGTGGCGTACTCCCCCCCCCCCCCCCCGCCCCCTCACACGGGGCCCCCAAAATTTAAACCGCACCTTGGAATCCTTTTTCCTTGGGGGCCTCCTTCTTAGCTTTGCGGGCCTTCTTCTCCTCCTTCCGCCTCTTCTCCTCGGCTTTATCCTCCGCCGCTTGCCGCGCAGCGGCCGCGTCATCGCCGCCGCCTGCAGTAACGCCGGCGGCAAGCTTCCGCCTCCGCCTTGAGGCGGGCGGCCTCCTCCAGCTTCTTCATGAGCTTGGACTTCTTCTCCTTCTTCTTCGGCTTGGTGACGACGGCGGGTGCTGCGGCAGCTTCCGCCTCCGCCGTTGCCTCGGCGGCGGCGGTGGCGACAGGGGCAGCAGCAGCAGCAGCAGCTTCTTCTTGTACGACCATCGACGAAGCCTGCACGCCGGCGGCGGCGGGTGGAAGAGGAGGGGACGGACTTCTCTTCTCGTCACTGTCGGCCTTGGCAGCGGGCGGCGGCGGCGGTGGTTCCTCTACCACCACCTCTTCCGCCGCCGGTGCCTTCCCCTTCTTCTTGCCCGCCTGTTGTAAGGGAGGGGTGGGTTTGACCGTATGAGACTTCAACTTCCGTGTTTTTTCTTTTTGTCGAAACCGACAATAATTTCCGGTGTGCACACATACATATGAGGCGGCAGCACCAAAGGAAGAAACGGAAAGAACAGTCATTGCATGTTGAACGAGACGCACTCTCCGATGGTTTCACACAGAATACACCGCGGGAATGGAAGGGATAATGGGAGTCGATGAGATGACGAGAGACCGCTCTGGTGTGGGTGTCGATATCAGCATATTTCCAAGGGAGGGGCTTGGTACCCTGCTCTCCACCTCGCATGTAATCAGACGTTCGTAGACGGCAAATATCAAAATGGCGCACCCCTTTGGGCCTTCCATGTACCTGCAGCTTGGCCTTCTTCCGCTCCTTCTTAGACATGCGCCTCTTCTGACCGTCGTCCTCCTCGTCGTCGCTGTCACAGCCAGCAGCAGCAGCAGCAGCAGCAGCAGCAGCGGCGGCGGCGGCGGCGGCGGCTTCAGCCTTAGCGGCTGCCTTTCTTTCCTTCTCCAACTTCGCTTCTTTCTTCGCAGCAGCTGCTGCTGCTGCTGCTGCCTCCTCTGCTGCATCATCATCATCATCATCACTGCTGTCCGCCTCTTCCTCCGCTGCCGCTGCTTCGGCAGCGGCTAACGCAGCGGCCTCCGCTATTTTGCGCTCTTTCTTGGAAAGCTTGGCCGGAGCAGCGGCGGGGTTGCCGCCGATGGACAGGGACTCCATGCCGCGGCTAAGAGCGTCCTCGTCCCCCTCTCCCGCGGCGTCGCTATTGCTACCGTCGTTCCCTCGGCCTTTCTTCCCCTGACGAGAGGCCCGTTGTGGACGCGAGGGTTGTTCGTTCAGCCGTTTTTTAAAGTCAGTGGGCGACGGGGTGCTCAGGCGAGATATGCATAGACTCACTTGCCATTGTCCTTGGTGTAACTTAGACGCCTAGATTGAAGTTGACACGTGGTTCCTTCGTCACAGAAACACCAAGGGTTGGTTGTTCTAACGATGGGCGGGTCGGGGGGACGGCTGTCACCGAGTGAAAACGAACGTCCGTCCCGAAGTCTCTCGGGTGTTCCAAGGCCAACGCCTCTCTTGCAACTCCTACAGCTCTCCTTACCGTGGACAAAAAACTCAGAAGGTGGGGAGAGGGACTACCCACAGCCCGGTGGGAGGAAACACACTGTGCCACACGCCCATAAGAAAAAACATGACGATTAAACAAACAATCACTCACCTTCTTCTTTCCTTTCTTGCCCTTCTTGGATTGCCCCGCGGCAGGTTCCGTGGCATCACCGACGGCATCGCCTTCGCCGGCAGCACGCTCCGCTTCGGCTGCAGCAGCCGCGGCGTCAGCGGCGGCGATTCGTTCTTCCTGGATCGCATCGCAGATGGACGAGTCGCACGCGCGATGGAGACAACACAGGCAGGATTGGTTGACATGACTTGCGGAGAGCAAGTAATCAACTCTCACCAAGGACAGCTGTTGACCAAACATGCACTCAACAAATGTCACACCCAACGACACCTGGTGTGTTTCCTACACGTCATCCCCGAAAACTCATCTGCACAACTCTCCAGCCAAGGCTCTATGTACACCACTTACAGCCAGACGTACCTCTTGCTGCTCCCTCTGCAGCCGCGCCTGCTCGTCCAGCCTGCGCTGCTCTTTCTTGGTCAGCGGCTTCTTCTTCTTACCCTCCTCCGCGTCTTCTCCTGCCCCCTCACCACCGTCGCCGTCTTTCGGGGCCATGGCGTCCGCGTCTTGGCCCTTAGCGTTGCCCTCGGCCTTATCTTCGTCATCCTGGGAGTCTCCGCCGGCCGCCTGGTGTGAGTGCGTGGAGGGCGAGAGGGCCAAACCAACCGCATAAAGGAGATGAAAATAGTTGTCGACGATCGTCGATAATGTTGGCCAGGTATGATGTACGAGGAGGCATTACTGCTGTAGCGGTGACACGGGAAGAACACAAAACGGCTTGCATCTAGGTACGCATACCTGCTGATAGCGTTCAGATATTTCCATTTGGATACATCGGTAAATCCTTCCACCGGCCGTGAACAGCAGTCAGTCTAAACGAGTGCGGGTTTGGCCAGAGCATAAAATCAGATGGAACAAGGGAATTAGATCGTACAATGCGATACGCTAGGGCACCGACAACGACGATATTGCCCATGGTGAAGAATGCTAACCGTAAGGGAAGCAAGAAGTGCATTTCAAGGAAACGAGGCTATAGCGAGAACACAAGTATCAGCATCTGCATCGTATCCGGCATCACGTGGGGGGGGTTAAGGCCGCTGCAAGACCATGTTTCCATGAACGATGAGGTTCCTTGGGCTGGACAAAGTCGTCCAGCCCGCACGGGGACGACGTTTGGGTAGTGAACCACCTGAGGGTAACCGACATCGAGCCCAACAGGTTGGAGTGAATCACATCAACTGCTCATAGTTCGAATCTCGACGATGTACAGCAGTACTAGCTGCGAGCAACCTTTGGCGAGAACTACGTAGCAAACGCACGCAGACGGTCGCCGGAGTTCTCCAGCGTAGTCAACATGCATAGTGTCCAGTCTGCGCCCTCGTCTACTGCTCTGTGACGACGTGCAAATATCTACAATGTAATGCAGCTCGACTTCAGCAGCTGCTTGTAGAGCAATCACTCACTGGAACCGGTCCGCGGAAGGGGCGCGAAAAGGGATGGAACCAATCAATGGGATCTAGACTGTAAATACTTACCGTTAATGGATGGTGCCAATTTATGCATTGAAAGCCAGTGTGCACTACTACAGAGAAAACATTGTGCGAGGCAGGCACCAGACGCGGACACTACTGTACAGGGCCACGCTGATGAGATCAAGCACTCGAGTATCTCAAACGCGACCTGGAGACAACATGTATACATGCATGATTTCAACATCGTACATGCTACACAGCAGTCGTAACTGCTCCCATTCAAAAAATGTGTGCAACAAAGCCTGTTGCCGCCGGTGCACCAGTGCAGCATCACACACGCACACAACACACACCTCTTTCTCTCGGCGACGTTGCTCCTCCTCCAGCCTGCGCTTCTCCTTCTTGGTAAGCGGCTTCTTGCGGCGGTCCTCCTCGTCCGAGTCGCCACCACCACCACCGCCCCGCCTCCCTTTTCCGCCGCGAAGATGGGCCAAGGGGTCCAGCGCGTCGCCGTCGTCGCTGTCGGAATCGTTGTTATTTCTTCCCCCTTTCCCCTTCTTCTTGCCCTTGGCCTTGCCGCCCTTGACTTGCTGCCGGCCCTTGCCTGCCGCTGCTGCTGCCGCACCCTCCTCCGGGGCGTCGTCGTCGACTAGAGCAGCCTTCTTGAGAGATGCCGTCACCGCTGCTGCTACTGCATCGTCGTCGGAGGAAGAGTCTCCCCTGCGCTTCCCTTTCTTCCCTCGCTTCGGCGGCATGGCGATACGTCGGCCCCCTCTCGCTGCTGGTGCTGCTGGTGCTGCCGCTCCTGCGCTGCTATGTGGTGCTGCTGGGTGGCGCAGAACTGATGTCAAACCAGGGGACTCGCACATTGTACGCACAAAGGTAACATGAAGGTCATCATTGTCTCTGCGGTGCCCCCGGGTTGCTCTCGGCAGGACCGCACAACACATAAACAAGCAGCACGCCGACAAGAGGAAGGTGAGTCGCAGTAGAACCAGATGGATCGAAAAAACAGAAGTGGTCCCATTGTGTCCCTTCGCTAGCGTTTTCTCGTGTGCTGTGTTGTACGGGTGCGTACAGCAAGCAGCACTAGACACAGGGCGCGCTTGAATGGCTTTGTTTGCTGAATCAGTTGCTACCTAACACAGCAGTCGCAGTGAGGCCGCTCGTACCTCTCCTCTCTCTCTCACCGCTCCTGTCTCTCACGCTCTCATGCATGGCATGTGTCTGTTCGTGTACCCACAATTCACTGCATTATTATAGCTCTGTAGGTAGAGGGAATACGGTCCTGTTCCCCGCGTTTTGATGGGCAATCTTAGTCGTTGCACTTGACGACCAGCACACGAGCACAGCAGCGATCATGTCATGTGTACAGCTGCACACAGCAGCGCTGATGCTCTCCCTCGTCGCCTGCCAATACCTGTTGGCAAAAGATAGTCAACAGGTCGCCACGAGTGTGTCAGTACTTCAAGAAAGGTGATGGTGGTTGGGAGTCTCTAGGTATAAGAGAGTAAATGACCGAGGCGAAAGCTACTGCTACATGGTGTGCTGCAGCACCATCTTTGCCTGGGCGGTTGGCGGTTACCCACGTAAGTGTGTCGCTGGACGCCGCTGCAGCCTCCGTCCGTTTCCCAGGCGGGAATGAGACGGTAGAACCAGAGCTCTTGGAGAAAAAATCTTCCCGACTCTTGCTTAGTGGGTCACGATTATTCTGTCGCTCCCACACCGCTATCTCCTCTCATGTCACCTGCTGTTCCTGTGTCCTACGTGCACACCCTCCGCATAGTCTACGGCATGCCAACAGCATGAGTATATGGTAGCGCTTTGTTACTTCCTGTTCGTCATTCTTCTCCGCCTCTCTCTCTCTCTCTCTCTCTCTCTCTCTCTCTCTCTCCCTCTCTCTCCCCCTCTCTCCCTCTCTCTCTCTATCTCGTTGTTAAGATGAGACACGCGGTGTCGGTCCTCGCGGCGTCCACGGCGGTCGCCACCGCCTTCAACCTCAACCTCGTCACAACTAGCCACAACCATGCTACTGCCGCGGCCGGAAGAACCGTGCGCCCACGTCGATCGGGGCCTCGGTTGTCGCCGTGCTTCTCCAACAGCGTGTGCGGGAGCAGCAGTAGCAGTGGCACTTTCGCAGGCGGCAGGAGGTCGGCGCGAGGAGCACCACGATCATCGCGATCGGGACCGTTCATGTACGGCTCCAACCCTGCGCTGAGAGACATCAGAGCCGGGGCGGCTGGGGTGGGGACTCAACGCCAGCTCGGCGAGGCATCGCGCGCGGGAATAACAACAGCAGCAGCGTCGCCGTTCGGCAGGGCCTCAACTGAAGGGGGGTTCCGGAGACGAAAGGCTCGGGGGGGGGTTGCGATGCAGGCGTACCGGTACCTGAACACGTACCACGACGGGATTAGCGACGAGGCACAGGGAGTGGAACAAGTTCGAGGAGAAGGATTACGTGGAGCTAGGGTCTAGCGGGCTCATGGTTTTTAGGGTGAGTTATCTTTTCTGGTATTTGGAACCCTTCCGTGTGCCCCCCCCCCCCCCCCCGTCCACCCTCGTGCGTGGTGCTGTTGCCGCAAGTTTTGCGTATCAGACGTGATGGTTTCCCGCCGACTCACGAACCGACATGCGCGCGAGCCCTCGTACATTCGCCGACGGCAGAGCTTGTAAGATGCGAGACTCGCAAGCAGGGGAAGTGGGCACGAATGCCGCATCTACGTTGCCGTTGTGGTGGCTGTAGGAGCAAATCTCTTGTGTGCGTTCTTCTTAGACGAGCTGGCTCCCTGTGACGATGCGCACTCCCCCCCAACAGGGCGGCGATTTCATTGTGTTGTCGTACTGGTTGTTCTAGAAGTGACCCCTTCCATCTACCCGCCCTTTTCTTATCCCCGCCTGCTCATACCCCCCACGCCGGTGCCCTCGTGCTCCTTTGTTTCGTGTGTGCAATCACGAACAAAAAATGAACAGATTGGGTATGGTGGGATGATGGTCGGGGGCCAGATGAGCGAGGAGCAAACGCACGAAACACTCAACCACGCTTTTGACGTGGCCGGTATGAACTGGTTGGACACGTCCGAGAGCTTCCCGTGAGTGTCTTTTTTGTCCTCTGTGTACCTTCTTACCACATGTGCGATGCACACACCATCGAATATGCCGCTTTCGCGCATTCTATCCCGTCACGTAAGGTCGTAGCTTTCTACTTCGAAGTGTAGCTTAAGCGCCCCACCCATTGTCCGTGCGTAGTGTTACCCCACGAAGCCCCATGTGGTGTATGAAGACTATCATGATACGGCGTCCCCCCCCCCGCTCGTTCCTTCGGCCCCCAAAAAGCACGCATGGGTTCGGAAGCACTTCAAACTCTCTCGTTGTGGTTCGCAAGGATGTCGGTTGGCTACGCCCCAACGTTGACACACACAAAAATGTTGTTCCCCCACTACCATATTTTCTCCCAGAGGCACGAACACATTCTTCAACGTGTGCCACTGCTCTGTGACGAGTCGAAGTAGTGCTGGGTCCCGAGAGTCACTGGCGATCGGCAGTGGGGCTTGAAATTCGTAGATGGGTGACTTGCCAACCGAAACAGGTATTGCTGTCTCGGACCGAAGAAGGTACTGTACACTCTCGGGAACGAGGCGCGAGAGGTTGGAGCCCGCTGCGCGTGCCTCCCTATCCAGAACCTATTCACCCATCCACCTTCTCCGGTGTTCTGTCCGCCGTCCTTGATTGTGTTTCTGGGGAACGTTTATTTTTAGGCACCCTATTCTTCCGGAGCACGCGCACAAGGCTGACCCGATCATTGGCTCCTGGCTCAAGGGGCGAGATAGGTCTAAGGTTATCCTCTGCACGAAGGTATACCGGAATGTATACAAGTACGTCGCTATCGTCGTCGTTGTCGTTGCTACCGCCGCCGTTTTAGAAGTTGTTGTTGTTGTTGTTGTCGTCGTCGTTGGTTGTTGCTTGAACGGGTTACGCGTTCCTTCTTCCCCTCTAGAAGAATAGATGGGTCAGTGATGGCGCGAACAAGCCCGAAAGAGATACCGCCAGCCAACCAGCCAGCCACTTTAGTCAGAACTTCAGAACCTCAACATGAACGAGGCAAGTGGAAAGCAGAGGAAAGAAAAAAGGAAAAGAAAAACACTTGGAAACTACGAAACAGCACGCACCCGGCCGAAAGAGAAGCCCTGGCGCTTGTTTACGTAGCTATGGAAACAGTTGAAACGAAATGTTTCGGAGGAGCACGATCCCCCGCAGGGGTATACGAACATGTAGCCCATGGTCGCGGTGCCTTCCACGTCTCACCCACATCGGCAAACGTCCGGCTGTTGCTTGGACATTTTTTTTTTTTTCCCCAAACAGGTGGCGGGGCGGCACGAGCAGATGACTTGGCTTCGCAAGGACGGCACCTTCCCCAAGCTCACCCGCGACCACGTGATGGAGAGCGTGCACGGCAGCCTTGAGAGGATGGGCACGGACTACATCGATGTCCTGTCTTTCGGAGACTGGCCAGAGAGGTAAGAGTACACACAACAAGAGTCTTAGTCCTGTCTTACCATTTTCATTTTTGGCGTTTCTTGTGGTCTGTTTGCACTCTTGGGGCAGAAGGAGGTGTGAACAATCGTCGTCATGCTCGGTGCAAAGTCGGCATGATCGTCCGTTCTTGGTGTTCTGTAAAAAGTAATTTTCTAGGTCCGGGCAAGTCTTGTCTATTTCGAGGGTACGGACCAATCCATGGTACGTTAACAAGGTCTGGGCAGGTCTTGTCTACATCGAGGGTCCGGATCAATCATGGACGCCCCCCCCCCCCCCCTCTCTCTCTCCCTCAAAATATTTTCTCTACCTTGGTGGGTTGGTTTGGCATGTTTCAAAATTTGTTGTGACTCTCTGAAGGTCAAAACATTCCATGATTCTTTGCCGAATGAAAGACGCTGCCCCCACGATGCTGGGTTCCTTCTGCACGTGACGTGGCTGAAAAGAGCGGGGGGGGAGAGGGAGAGGGAGAAAGAGAGACCAAGAAAAGAGGGGCCGGGCAGTGCCGGGGACTGTAGGCAAGCAACCAATGAGAACGCTCCATCCCTGCTGTTTGTCGTCTTCCCCCGTTCCAGACAAACACAGCACCCCGGAAACTATTTCTGGAAAAAATCGGACGAGCACCAGACGTACATGGACTTTGAGGAGCAGCTCATGATCGTCCAGGAGCTCAAGGAGCAGGGGCTGGTAAGCCGCCATGGCCCCGTCCTCCCTCCCGTCAATTTTTTTGCCCCAAAATTCTGACGCTACACATACTGCACAACTCACCAAACCCATCTCCCCCTGTCCTCCCCTCCCTCCCTCTCCTGTCGAGAGTATGGAGTGCTTGGATGACCGGCAGCTCGTGTTCTCGTTCCGATTAATTTTTTCTGTGTTTTTTCGGTCGATTCGCTCTTGTTGGTTGCTGTACAAGGCTGCGTAGCTTTTCCCTTTTGATCTCTGAAGAAGGAGCTTGTTCGTTATTTGTACGCTGTGAGAATGACATATTTTCATTGGCCAGCTTGTTTTAGCGCGGTCGGTGCTAAAAGTAAAGGCAGCACACACTTTAGCCTCGCCTGTGGCTCCCGTAAGTCCCCAGATCATGGCCTATAGAAGCATTTCAATTGACGCATTTTGTGTTTTCCACAGCACTGAGACTGACGTCTTTTCATTGGTCAGCCGGTTAGCGCGGTCGGTGCTAATAAACACGCATACACACAGGCAACCCAGCGCACGATACTGACGCTCGCATGGGAGAACGAGATGATACAGCAACAATGCTGTGTATTGTATTGAGTCTTCTCCTTGTACTTCAGAAGCAGGACTCTGTCATCCCACTACTGCGCCCCCCCCCTGTCGGTAGAGCCCTAGGATCAGAAGGTGTTAGTGTTTTTTTATCCCGCTACAAGACTGACGTCTTTTCATTGGCCAGCCGGTTAACGCGGTCGATGCCAATTAAGAAACACAACACACACACACAACCCAGATCATGGCCTTTAGAAGCGTTTTGTGCTTTCAACCGCACTGAGGCTGACTTGTTGTCATCGGGCAATCGTCTAGCGCGGTCGATACTACAAATAAAACTAAAAAAAAACACACACACACACAAACGCAGGTGCGTCACGTGGCCACGGCGGGCGACACGGCGTTCGGGGTTACTCGGTACTGCGAGCACGCGATCTGGGACGAGCTGCCGAAGATCGCCTTCTGCACCCAGGAGTACAACCTCTTCACGCAGAACAAGGTCGAGTTCGGTGAGTGCCGCCACCCACCCGCCACCAAAGAAACGGGCACTTTGTGTTGTTGTTGTTGTTGTTGTTGTTGGTGTTGGTGTTGGTGTTGGTGTCGGTGTCGGTGTTGCTGCTGCTGCTGCTGCTGCTGCTGCTGCTGTCGCTGTCGATGTTCTTGTTGTTGCTGCTGTTGTCAGCTGTCGACTCTGCCGCCGTTATCGTCCTCGTAGTGCTGCTACCGCTGGTTGCTGGCGTAGCGACCCGTCGTTGCTGTCGTAATCCCTGCTATCCTTGTTGTTGTTGTTGTTGTTGTTGTTGTTGTTGTTGTTGTTGTTGTTGTTGTCTGCAGACCTTGTGGAGGCGTGCACCCCGAGGCAGGAGAACGTGGCTATCGTGGCTACCCAGACCTTGGGGGGGGGTGTCTTCAGCGGCAAGTACCTGTACGAGCGCAACCAGTGGGACAGGGTAAGTTACCATATTCAGGGTAGAAATAATGTTTTTGGTTTTGTGTTCAGTTGTTCTTTTTTTTTTCTCTCTGTCTTTGCCCTTCTCTCTTTCTTGTCTGTTGCTTTCTATTTGCCACTGCTGTTTTGTTGTGTGTGTGTGTCTTTTTTTTTTCTTTCACTGTCATTGTCATTCTCTTGGCATTCTCAGCGGCGGCCACACCGACGACCTGCCCAAGCGTTTTCACCAACGGGACGCCGGTTGCAGCCTTTAAAAATTGACGTACGTTCAGGAAAGAACACACCCTGCACTTGGGGCACATTTCTGTCGCCTCTCCCAGAAAGTGTCGACCCTGTGTGTGGCTCGGGCGAAGTGGGTGTCGAAAAACCAAAGCAGATGCGGTTTGTTTGCCCTCTCCGGCACCCGTCCGATTGTGACCCTTCCGATCATCCTCGTGCAAGGAAGGTACAGCAGTAATATGTCTGATGGAACGTCTTCGCCGGCTTTCAGGATCAACACAAAACAAGGCATGAATCACGCCCCCCCCCCCCCCCTCAACACGAACACGTATGCGCACCTATCAACCCTGTCAGCGCCCAAATCGCGTTTGTACGTGGTCCCCTACCCAGCACCCCGTTTCCTCGTTATTTGCACCCCGCACACATTTTGGTCTCTTCTGCTCTATACCGGGTATTCGGAGACCTCCGCTATTTCGAAAAACACCGAGCCGCGGTTGCTTGCACAGCCAAAACTCTTTTGAGAGGTTGTTGGGAATCTCAACTATTTTCTATCCTCGTACCACCGCCGTCCTGCAGAAAACGGGGCTCCGTCTGAACGACTACCCCGGCTTCCAGGGGCGGTACAACTCCCCGAGGATGCGCAGCCAGCTCGACGTCTACCAGAAGATCGCGAGCAAGTACGACATGTCCGTGCACCAGCTGGCCACGGCCTTCGTCCACAACAAGTGAGATAATTCATTAATTTATTGAGAGTTTTGTTTTTTTTGTGTGTTGGGTAGTTATGTACCTGGTGCATGGAAGCAGGCTGCTGGGTTCTTGTGACCGATGCTTGTCGAGGGGACCACCTAGTGTTGGTTTGAGAGAGGCGAGAGTGGCATATGTTCGGAGGAATGTGAAAACGCTGTTTTCATTGTGTTGTACTTGGGCGCAAGTCTCAGCTTTCGGTGTATGCGTTTGACGCACCAGCCGTGGTCACACAGGACAATATGTGCCTATACTTCCCGAGTCCGCACTGGGCATTGTTGGTGAGTGATAGACGTCAGTCTGAGTGCCACTAACGTGTGCGTGTGTGCGTGTTGTTATCCTCAGGCCGTTCATCACGGCCGCCCTGGTCGGCGCGACGAACAAGTACCAGATCGACCAGAACATCGCCGCCCTCGATACCGTCCTCCCGGAAGAATGTTGCAGGGACATTATCGCGGTAAGAGCATTGCCACAGCCGCAGTGACGCGCAACCCAACAGAACAAAGACATGGACGTCGTATGGGCGGAAGATACCCCTGCGGCCCATGAGCCGCTATGTCAGTGTGCCCTCGCTGATGTCGAGGATGACGGCCATGTCAAGAAGGCGTTTCACCTTTTTTTTTCGAAAGTACGAACGGGAGGTGTGGTGTGGATGGAACGAGATATCGTTAACAACCGGCTGCATGGAAAAACCTCTTGTGTGTCCTTTCTCTCGCGTGACCCCCGGCGGATGCGTCAGACATATTACGCCGAAAGGCCTGTAGACTGGCGCCAGAATAGATGGGGACGAACACCCACCCACTGCCGTGCGCCTTCGTGCCCCCGATCCCCGTCCAGGTGCAAGACGCCGACATCGAGCCCATGCTGGGCCCTTCCGAGGTGGAGCCCATGCTGACGGCCTACCAGGACAACCTGGGCCAGGAGTTCGCCAACGTGGACGACGAGAACACCAACTTCTGGGGCAGGATCGACGGTGACTACGAGGGGCCGTGAGACCGTTTCGGTCCACAGCGGCGGCGGCGGCGGCGGCGGTGTACCACTATTTGTTTAGCATCCGTTGGCGCGTGCGGGTTGCTGTGCCCCCGACCGAGCAGAAAAGACACGGATGTGTAGTATGTGGTGTTCTTGGCAAGATCGGTTCAATCGTCCATTAAAGACGGGAACAAACGTGGGTGTAGGTTGGGCGTTGGTTGCATTTTTCGTCGTCTTGACGCTTGGACACGTGAGGGGAAGAAGCCTGCAAGAAGATAGCTAGCGGTTTCGGTGTGTGCGCCAACGGGGGCGCGCACCGAATTTTAGTCTGGCACAGCAGGAAAGGATGAAGTGCGAGTGCGATGGATAACCGCTGTTTTTTTCGGCATCGATCGGTCGACTAGTGCATGCTCAACACGAGGAATAAGAACGATGACTACAGGCAACACCGTAGTGTTGTTACTTGTTACAGAACAGTCGTATGGCAGTAAAGTCCACCTAATTTTCGAGCGCCCGGCCCTTGGAAGCGCCCTACAAGGTCGTCGTCCACACACGCCGAGACGTCGATGTCCATATATATGCATAGAAGGATGGAGCTAGTGTTGTTCTTCTCCCGAGAAAAATTCTAGAAGTGAGCGTTTTTCCGGGCGCGTTTGTCATTCTCCCAGTCTTGGAAGGCGGCAACAGGAGCGCGCCAGTTAGCTCTCGACTCCGTTGGGATAGATACACCGACTCCCTTTTTTGGGACTGATCCAAGCATTGTGACAGCATGCGTTCACTCAGGTATATTTGGTCGACTTTCGTCTGGTATGATGTTGCTGAGAGGTGGAACAAGTCCACCGAGGTTTCCGCTAATAAGACCAACGAACCATGAATTATCTCTAGAATGCCTTCTCAAGGCGGAGGATTGCAAACGCCGCCGCTCTTTTAGACAGCACCTATGCATAGCTAGGCTGTTGGTCGTCGAACATCTGATGTTGTAACGCACCACAGACCAGCGACACGAAGAAACACTCAACAGCTCGGAGGACAGCAACTTGTCGGCAGTAGACTCTAAACGCTGGGCAAACCAACGAGAACACGTGGTGCCCGACATGTACGCTCGCAGCCATCATCACGCAACACCGGGAAAACACAACAGCAGTTGAACCGTGTGGTGTTGGTGACATCACGGTTGGTTACCGTTGAAACTCAAGGACGTCTAGTCATCTATGCGAGAGATTACTTGTTGGCGAGATACAAGGAGGTGGAAACCGAGAGAGAGAGAGAGAGAGAGAGAGAGAGATGCGCGCTAACGCCTCGTCGATGTTTGATCGATATCCCTTTGCGGTTCGAGGCAGCGTTGGAATCTTGAACCGCAAAGGGATACATGTATCGATCGAGGAGGCGTTTGCGTCTCTCTCTCGTTTTCAAACTCCTTGTATCCCGCCAACAGATCATCTCTCGCAAAGATGACGACACTAACGCACCTAGACGACTGGACTTATAGACTAAACACGTACGCGAATATCGAGTGTGGGAGCAAAAAACAAGCTTCTTTCGTCTTACACACGACAAACTGAAACATGAAAAATAGACAAAAGACTTCCTCAGCGGGACACGGCCGAATAGCCAATCGGAGCAGAACGTCTCGACCGTGGTTGCTGTTTTACCCTTGCTTGAAAAAACCCTCGTCGTCCTTGTATCGTAGCTCTTTCGGTCCTGCTCACGAAGCAAAACCCTGCCCCTGTTGTAACACGTGATAAGATAATTGCCTCATCCACGAGACAAGAGGGACGCCGTGACCATTCGAGCTATTTAATGGCATTACATCAAAGCGATCCCACTCCTCCTTCCCCTCCCACGAAAGCTATCTGCGAGGCGCCGGGGTGGGGGGAGGGCACACACTACCACGCGTCGCCCCTTTCCAATACAGTATGGGCGGGTTTGTTGGTGTCATGCGCAGCACGGCCCCGCCTGTTGCACCCCCTCCCGTCGCCCCTCGCACGACAGTCGAAACGCCCCCCCCTTTGCACCGCCGACTCCGCGACGGTCTCTCGAAGGACTCGCCCCCTCCGGCCCACGATTTCTTCGGTCCTCAGCCTGCGGTGCATGAATTCGTTCAGTAGATAGAAAGAAAACACGATTGAGTGCCCGCAGGATTGAGTCCCCGCAATTTTCCTACTCGGCAAATGCTGTTAACGAGAGTGAATACATGGGTCGCCGTTTGGTGGGTGGTTTTGCACATGATCTGGCAGGACCGGGGCGGAGCGAGTGCGGGTTTTCCCGTGAAAAAATCTGGGAGGGGAAAGGAGGAAGAAAACCATGCAAGAAGCAAAGCTTGGGGAGGCCATAACCCGACAAAGCTCGGATTGCTCATACCCAACCTTTCAGGAGCAACGCTGACTATTTTGGCCAACAATTTCACACCTATTGCTACCCAAGTGGAACATGTTGTGGGATATGTTGTAAACCAACACATCACATGTGGTATAACATTACCACCACATTGTCTGCTGCTTCCCAAGGCGGCGCTGACGCGGTAAGCGCCTTCCACACAACGCGATTCTGTCTCAATAACAATCACCGAGTAGCATTACCTATACCCACCTCAAGCGCGTGCTCGACGAGGCTCGTCATTGCCGTGTCGATGTTGTCCCCCCGCTTCGCCGAGGTGATGTGCCATCCAGCGAACCCCTGTTCATGAACAGCCACGACGTCACAAGGACGGAAAAGGCGTACGAGAAAGAGCCAAAACAAAGCCGTCAGAGAGAACCCCTATCGTCGAGGACAGACAAGGCACATGAGACAGAGCCAAGCAAGCGCAAGACAAAAGCCGTCACGCCTGCCAGGCCACTCAACACTAACCCGGCTCGCCGTAGCTAGTTGCCGCCAAATCGACCCACCCTTGCAAAGCCTGACAGAAGCGGGTCGGATTTTCTCTACAGACCGAGAATTCGCAAGCTCGCAGTAGCCTACGCAGGCTTTTCTAAGTACCGCAAGGTTGCGAGTCAGCGCACAGGGGTGCGAACGATTTTCAAAGCGTAATTTCTCCACAACCAGGAGGTTAGAATACCACTGCTGTCGAAAAGGGCGGTTTTGGAAATATCTCATCGAGAGCTTTCCTGACAAGTATCAGTTGGCGCTCGCACCTTCCTGCAATTGTGGAGAAATTACGCTTTGAAAATCGATCGCACCCCTGTGCGCTGACTCGCAACCTTACGGTAAGCAAACGTACACTGGACAAACTATAGAATTTTCCAAGAGTTGGGGTTGGGGTTAGGAGAGAGCTTGGGTCTCTCCCGGCCAGTTTATTTCTGTTCTGTCCGTGTGTCTTGTCTGTCTTGCTGTCTGTCGTCATTTGTATTCGCTGCAGTCGTCCCCTTGACCGATCGGGCCTCCAAAGCCGACATCGAGCTACGGTACACGTCTCGCGACACCCGAGGCATGCCTCGGTAGGGCATCGCAGAAATAATGAACGCTCCACAAGTTTCGGCAGCTTCCGCTCTCTGCAGCGGACAAGAAGTGTCGGATATCGGTTCAAAAAATCGATTCGATTCGATACGATAACGACCGCGAAGCGCGAATCATTCTGATTAACTAGACTCAGCGCTCCAAGGTTCAGCGGTATCGCGCGCACAAAAACGCAGAGTCTAAGCTTGTCTAAAGCCAAGCTTTCGCGATGAGAGTAACAGATGGGAAAGGATCACTCGTTGCTTCGCTTCGGTTCTCAAGCCTCAAGCAACAAAAGCGAGCTTTTGTCAACGCCAACGCCATTCGTCGGCTTGCTTTAGGAACAGGAATGCCTTGACTGAGGGCATAAGGGATACCGAAAACAATGATTGCTACCCCCAGGACCAGACAACGCCAATAAAGCTTCGACGCGGTAACGTAGTCATGAGAACAGAGTCTTGACCCGGGGCGGGTGTTCGCTGTATGTGCCGGCGGATGGCGTCAGCAAAAAGTAGTAGAGGATTGACACTCAACGGTTAAGCTGTCTGGCCGAAAGAACTTCGGCCGCGAACAGCAGCGAGACTACCCGCGCCACACGAGTCTAAACAAAAGCGAGACGTCATCACACACAAACCAGAACGAAAAAAAAAAGAACACATACCGCGTCTCGGCAAGTCTTCTCCATCCTCGCCCCCGCGAGAAAGCTGTCCTGAACCTCCTTCAGCAGGTCGCACTTGTTCGCGAAGAGGTAAACCGGGAGGTCGCAGCCCTCGTTCTGGCACCAGAGGTCGATCTCTTCCTATGCGTTCATCGTGCGTTCACGGAGGAAGGGAGCAGGGGGGGTGGGGGGGTACTCATGCTTTTCACGCCTGAGCTGTTGGACCGTTGACCACGCGCCCTCGAGAGAAGGGAGCAAAGAGGGGGTGTCACACACACACACACAAAAGGGACAATAGTGACCCTACCCCCTGTCAAAGAGGACATCAATCGTCCTCCACAGACGGACGTTAGGGCGATTGTATGTACCCTTTATAACCAATAAAGGAGATCTCCAAATACATCGCTACTTCAACGAGCGTGGCGACAACACCGTGTACAACCTCCCCCCACCCACCCAATACCCCCCCCCCCTCGGTGTTTGCCATCGGGATTGGGTTTTCGTCGATTGGCAACGACGTTGTAAAACAAGCCAATTCACTTCGTGAACTCGGCAACCAGGTTACCGGGTTTGTTTTTGTTTTTTTACCTCTGTTTTTTTTTTTGCGGTAACCATAATGGTGGTCGAGTAGATCATGTTGTGCGGGGTCGAGAAACCTCACTCCGCGCAAGGGGGATGATCGCACTACGTTGTGTTAAATTGGTCAAGCATCCTCGAGGCAGTTACACAGTGCATATAACTGTCTCTGGAATTGAAAGCACCAGAAAATTAATTAAGTCATACGCAGCTGTCATCCGTACGCAAGGAAGTAAGCACAAGATGCCGAACACCCTTAGCAGGATGCAGCGCACCCTTCATGCGACTCGCCGAATACCTCACGGCGCTTCGCGCTTGGTGATGTGAGAGCCTGGTCCGGTGAGAACCCGGCGTGCTCCGTCCCGGCTTTGTAGGGATGCGAGGTCAAAGGTCTAACGACTGCGGCATGCACACCCTATGAGTACACCCCCCCCCCCACCCAATACTCGCAAACCGGCACCTCGATACACGCATCAAATTGACGGTTTTGAAGAGCGTAAATCGTACCGCCGCTAGAGTACGCCGGAGAAGTATGGGAAGGAAATAGGAAGGTAGTGAAAGAACTCGAGGCGGCGCAGATGAAAGCAGCGAAAATCATCCTAGGATGCTCCAAGCGCACAAGTAATGCAGCCGTCAGGGCAGAATTGGGGATCCAATCCCTACGGTCGGGAAGAGACGCAAGGAAGCTGACATGGCAGTATCGCATGTGCGGGATGGGAGAGGAGAGGTTGCCGAGAATAGTATGGAGGTAAAGTGGGCAAACAAAAAGATGGGTAGACAACCCACGGAATGGGTCAAGGTTGTAGAGGACATATGGAAGGGGTTCGACATCGACGAAGATAAAACGCTGGAAACGGAGGGTCTAAAGGGGGTTCAAGGAGAAGCTATTTCCTTTTCTTGTGCCGAGAGAGAAGAACAGAATCTAAGGAAAGAAACCGAGGACAAGGAGGGTCTAGAAGTGTACGGAATGTTGAAAGAAGGAATAGGGTTCAAGGATTACCTACATGGACCAATGGATGCAGGGACAAAGCTTAAGGTTACATTCAGGACCGGGGACATAGGCCTTCGAGAATGTCGACGAAGACATAGGACGGTAGACAACGAAGACGACAAGCTCAAATGTGAAAGCGGCTTCGAATGCGAAGACCGTGTTCATGTAGTCGCGGAATGTCCGTGGTACGAAGAGGAGAGGGAAGTGTACATGACTGAGCTGGGAAAAAAACAAAGGGAGGGACCGGGAGATGTTTGAGGCATGGAATAGAGAGGAAAGGACGGTAGCTGTACTGGGGAGTAGGAAGTGGTTTGAAAAAGGCGGGAAGGGATATCGTTAGGATAGACAGACTAAGGAAGACATTTTTGAGCCACCTTTGGCAAAGTAGGAAGGAACGGTTGGCCATCGGTGATCGGTCCTGTGGGAACAATGCTCCGTCCTCTCGAGGACGCGTGGTCAATGGTCTAACCGCTAAGGCATGCAAAACATAAGAGTACGCCCCCCCCCCCCCCCCCCCTGTGCAGTAGCTGATGTCAGCAAACTCTGCTAACTGGGTCGGTTACCCCGGTGCAAGCCATTTTAGGCTCTTTTCACACTCCTTTGAATACTCAGGGTACTCGTAGAAGGAAGCAGCACTGTACCTTCCACCTGACGATTGCATCGAAGGTTCCCTCGCGGGTGACATCGCAGACTACGACCGCGCCTTTCGCTCGTCGGAAGTAGGCGCGCGTCAGCTTGGCGAACCGGTCCTGACCTGCGATATCCCACAGCTGCAGTCGCACCTGCAAACCAAGATCAACAAGCATCAGACTAGGGTATATGTAGCATGTCGCGGCGCGGGCGAGAGGAGGAGGGCAGGATCATCGATCACCGCCAGCATAAAAACCCTACCGTAACAGCGACAGCACCAGCACCAGCAAATCCCCTCTAATTGCTCTTTGGCGATACAGCAAAGGAATTCATACACCAACAACGACAAACGTGACACACACACGTGCATACGCGTTAGCGCGGTCGACGGTACAGCAATATTAGCAAAAAAACATACAGGGTCGCCACACCCGTTATAGGTGAGGGCAGCATCGAGCCAAGGTTTCTACCGCAATCCAACCTGTCCATCGAAGACGACTGCATTCATCATCTGCCAGCCAGCCAGCCGGCCGGCCAGACAAAGCGGATCGGTGGCAAAGAAACAGGGAAGACACTACTTGTAGCGTACAGTGGTGGCTCCGATATCAGAGGGTGGTGTGACAATGGCCCTCGACCCTCGTATCCCGGAATAAGAGGATATGTAACCAACTTTACAATAGAGGGTCGAGTCCGTGACAACCTATTGCGACCCTCTCATATCGGAGCCTCCTGTTACACGACACCCTCTTATACATCGGATCCACAACTAGGTCGATGATACCCACAACCACGAGGCCCACAAGCTCAAGAAGCAGGAAGGACACCTTGCTGTCGTCCTGCTCCTGCGCCCCCCCAGTCGGTAGAACATTTTTTGCTTAGAAAGCGTGATAGCGTTTTTTCTTTGTCCCGCAGTCGTGTTTTCATTGGTCAGCCAGTTAGCGCGGTCGATGTTCTTAAAAAAAAAAAAAAAACACACACACAACTCCTACGCCCCTCCTGTGGGTAGATGCCAATTCAAAACACAAAACACACACACAACGCACTGAGACTGGCGTCTTTTCATTGGTCAGTCGGTTAGCGCGGTCGATGCCAACAATAAACACACAAAACATATGCACACAAACACACACACACACACACACACACACACACCTGTCGTCCATTCTCGAGGGAAACGTCCTTCATGGCGTAGTCCGCCCCAACGGTGGAGTTGTAGTCCGAGCTGAAACGGTTGCTCACGAACCGGCTGATGATGGACGACTTGCCGCACTTGGCGTTCCCGACCACGAGAACCTTGCAGGTCACCGTCGGCACTACGCCGCCGCGGGGCGGCTCTGCCGCCGCCGGTGGCGGGGCAGGAGAAACGCCTCCGCCCCCGCTGTCAGCGCCGCTCACGGCGGTGGCGACGGCAGTAATAGCAGTACCCGAGCCGCCGCGCAATAATCTACGCTGGTCGTCGTTGTTGCTGCTGTTGCTACTTTTGTTGATGCCGGAGTCGCCGAGGATGCCCTCAGCTCGGCTATCGTCGGGATCCTGTTGATGTGATCGTCGTCGTTGTTGTGACAGAGGTCGTAAGGTGGTGGTGCTGGCGTCCAGATCGGTGGCTCTTTGGTTAGGGTGGCTTGCACCCGTGGCCGGGAGCGTTGTTGCGTGTCCCAGTTGTGGTCCACCCTTTCTCGGCGAAGCAGGAGGCAGGGACGAGTCGGGGCTTGGCGCGGCACGATGGGAAGCCGGCGACGACAAGGCACCGCCGCTGTTTTCAGTTGCCCCGGCGACTTCTGTAGGGTGGTCTCGTGCTGCTCTCGCCGGTCCAGTGCTGTCTCCTCCTGCAGCTGCTTCTGCTGGCGCTGGCCAACGCCCTCCCCTATCCCGCTGCCCCCTCTCCTCTGCTGCGATTGCTCCTCCTCCTCCTCCTCCTCCTGCCGTAGATTCCCCCTTCACCTCACCATCCCAAAGCGGACCAGTCTTCGCAGCTTCAACAACACCACCGCTACCGTCACAACCACTACTATCGCTGTCCCCTCCCTCCCTCTCAGCAGTAGTACCGCTGTCGTCCGTAAACGTGACGGACCCGAGATCATCCGACAGCACCGAGGCACTGCCGTCGCCATCGCCCACATCGCCGCCGTCGCCGCCGCAGGACGAGTCTTGGATGGAGCTCAGCGTGGCGTCGGAGCCGGCAGCGGGGGAGCCCGGGGCAGCCATCTCTCGCCCGGCAAACCCGCCGCCCCCACCACCGTGAGGTGTTCCCGTCAGGCCCGCGATGGTAAGGGCGTCGAGTCGCATGGGCATTATCGAGGCCGCCTTGGTGTTGTCCGGGCTTGGTTCAGGGCTCGGCGCCGGGCTGTGTGATTTCGAGTCGGGCAAGGGGATTGGGGGGTTCGGCAGTGTGGGAAGGTGAACACTGCCATGGCCAGACAGACCGCTTTGTCTGTAGGCGCTTGGGTGTATCGAGAAATTCCCCGGGACAGGGGTGCTGAGGCGGCGAAGTGTGTGTGAACGTGTGAACCACAACAGGTGTTGTTAATGCGAGAATTCATCCCTCCTATTATAGTTCGGCCCTGAGTCGACGACATGCCTGCAGCAGCAAGGTATGCATTGCAAGGAACCGCGGTAAACCAGAGGGTTTTAGTTGGTGCCGGGTGTAGCTGATGTGTTGCGGTGGAGCGGGCGAGGGAAGCTGCTGTGTTGCGGATGGTGCTGCTGCTGTCTGCTGCTGCGACTTTGAACTGTGTGGATAATGGTTGTTCTATGGGGGGGGCTGGAGTGCCAGAAAGCGTTGAGGAGGTGAGAATCTGTAGGACCAAAAAACCATACCCAAGCAGGTAAGGAACACAAGAGGTGCGCGTACTGGTCGCCACCATGCCATTGGGGCGGGTGTTCTTTGGTTCGAGTACAAGGCACTCAACAAGGGCGTGGGCGCATGGGCGCGAGCTTACCGTACGCCACACGAAATATCGCACCCTCTAAACCAATTTTCAAAGCTCCAATAATTGTGGCGTTGGAACCGCCTCGTCGAGGCCTTACCGAAGCACAATGCAGACCCAGCAAGTGCGGTGTCCATATATATTATTGTGGGTATATCTCGAATGGGTAGTCTGTGTGCTAACCCCTAGCGCAGCAACATGGCGGGGTGCTGCTGTTTGTTCTAGCAGCAGCACCAACAAACAGGAGCTGCGGGCGTGTAACAAAAGGAGCTGCGCGTAAAACATGCTTCTCATGTTTGAACCAGCGCGGTCGGACCCGCGTAGGCGCCCTAGCAACACGGTGCTACAAACACAGCAATAGGTGCTGCTGCGCCTCTTCTTCTCGCGTGCATGTTGCTGGACGGAGGTCCCACTCTGGTACAGAATGCGGGGTTCGTTTGTGTTCTGTTTGAAAGAAACACCAGGCCCAAAAGCTGTGGATGACACCGTAATACGGATACTCTCCATTGCTGTTGCATCTAAAACACTAGTGAAGCGCCTCTACAGTATACCGAGGTGGAAGGATACGCTGGCGCCAGCTTGGGCTGAAAAGTTGCAGTTGGGTTTTACCGATACAAATACAAGTAGTGTACGTACAGCAGTGCTTTGTAATGATGGGGTCAACGAACAGTTCAAACTCAAAAAGACGTACCTCGACATGATAGCTTCGCAAAAAGCTGACAATGATCACCACCATTAAAGAGAAATGCCCGAATGTTGCCAGGGTGCCAGTATTGGTCCCTCCCTGTGGTGGGTGGTGGGCTGTCTCTGTGGCCAAGGTGGAGTTCGGGTTGGCAGCTCAAACGGTCCCCGAAAAATGGGGTGTACGTGCGGATTGCTCATGACACTGCGTCACCCCCTAAACACTCCGCCAAACGCCCGCAACTCCACACAGAACCAGAGCAGAGCAGAGACCGAGAGAGAGAGAGAGAGATACACAAGAACGTACCCCCTCTCTCACTCCGCATTCTCCTTCTCTCTCTCGTGCTCCTGCATGTTGGGCAGCTGATCGTTGGCGTGCCAGTCGCAAATGAGTCTTTTGGCAGCAGCGGGCGGACCCGGCATGAGCAGCAGCAACAACACTTGCGAGTTGCTGCCCGACATGGGCAGCAGCAGCCGCACCGCCACCGCCAGCAGCAGCAGCAGCAGCAAGGACCCGCCGCAGCGACATAGCTGGACGCGCATGCAGAGCACCACGAGGTCGAGGGACCGGTGCGGCTGGAAGGAATCGGACTACTCCCAGGGCGACTGGCGCATCCCGTTCGGCTACGACTTCTCGCGGAGTACCAGCGAAAACTACCGCGTGAGACACGGCAACATCAACGACGAAGACGGTGGCCGGGACGCGGGCAAGGTGTCGGATTACTACGCCGTGAGAGCGACACGGGACCACAGCTATCACGGGCATTACACCCGCCAGCGGCAGCTGTTCCAAGGTACTGGCTGTCGCTGTCGGATTGAGTTACCATCGCGCCTGTAAAGTACCAGCTGTTTGCAACGATGTCAGCAGGATCTACATAATATCCTGCTGGCACACAACTCAACCATTTCACCAGCAACCAACGCGATATGTCGCACAGCGTTTTCCTAAATCCTGAACCGGTTGTCGTGTCACGGTCGAGCCGCCGCGCTGCCCCAGCAGCGTCGGCGAAGCTCGTTCGCAATCCAAACGAGCGTTTCGAATCTCCTGTGTCGAGGACAGGATTCAGCAATGGTTACGTACATTCAAAAGTCTTCCCGCAGTGCTTTTTTGTACCGCTCGTTCCGAGCGCTTGAAAAGGCGGCCGGAATCATACAGCCCAGCGACAGAGCCGACATGTGCACACGGCAGGAGGGGAGGGTATGGGGCCTTCGGGAGATGAACCTTTGCTTCTGTGTGTGACCGCGGATTCACGTGACCAGGCAGAATTAACGCTGATTCAAAGTAATGAAAAAAGAGAAGCAAAGCAGCAGTGGTCCCGGTAGAATGCCGGTCGAACAATGCCGGTTGCCCGGTATAATTCCGGTGAAATCGGCTGGCACTTATGAAATATTCAAGTTGTTTCATACTCTGAACGATGCCAGTTGCCCGCTGTGATGTCGGCTGGATCGCACCGGGATTATACCAGGACCAGCACTGCAGTTCCAGTTTTCAGGCGCGTCGAAGCACAGCAACAGCACTATAAGTATAAGTTGCCTGCCAACGGCCAACAGAGCATGTAGAGAACCTACGACAGTAATGCTGAGCACGATCAGCCCCTTTTAGTCCCAGCAAAGAGTGGGAACACTGGTGGTATCTGTCACAACAGCAGTGCGCAGAACATGAGCAGGGAAAACTGCTGCTGGTTCAGGTCCACAGATTCGGCATCTGGATATATCGGCGGGTGACAAGAAAAGATGCGTGTGCCTCGACGCTTCGGCCACGGCTTGCATTAGCTGAGTAGAACATCAGTGTGGTGGCTAGTCGTGCTTTAGTCGTGCTTTTACCTGTTTTTTTTTTCTTAGTTAAACACACCGAATCTATGCATGTATCTGTCCATAGGTTTTTTGCTCTTGACGGTTGGTTGTGCAGGGGCCCAAGAGGCCCGCATTTTTTTTTTTTGTCTTCACTTCACACCAGCGCTCACAGCACTTGTTGTACCGTTTACTCCAACACATGGTCACACAGAAGAGTTTATCTCCCTGAGCCCCAGTACCCACCCCTCCTGCGGTGCTTTGCCTTCGATTGTTAATGCGAGAAGAGTGCAGCGCTCTCTTCCCTCTTTGCATGGAGTTGTACCGGCTTTTTGTCTAGTTCAAGCTACCCCTTGACGTACAAAGTATCAGAAATGCTGACGCAAGCAATGGAATGGGGCCTCTTCCTCTCCTCTTGTCGTATGCCTGCTGCTCTTGAAGACGGCTGTATCACAACTACAAGCCACACTCTAAAGCATCACGTTGGATGTGTCCGCAAGGACCCTACAGTTTTTTTTCTTCTTGTGACACAACAAATTCATCTCCTCCACTGATAAAGAGTCTGGGACAGATTAGCAATGAAGCTACTGTTCCAATACAGACCTGTCATCCACTTGCCGATCATATCCCCCCCTTGTAACACAAGTTGTCTTGGTTGCGAAAAAGCAGACTCCCTGGTGAACAATGTGGTGGGGGCGTCGTCCCGGAAGGAGCACCCGTGGATCGTTTTTACGGCGGGGGCGATGGGTGCGGGAAAATCCCATACCATTAACTGGTGAGCGCCAGCGACCTTTCATAGGTGTGCTTGGGAACTGCGTTGTGGCCGTTTGAGCGTGGGCTCTGCTTCTGTGTTGGCGCTGACCCTATCCTGGTCCCACTAGATTGCGCACTCGCGCGCTCTCTCTCTGCTGCTCTTTTCACTACTGGTGTTTATTTCGACACGAGAGTGGGTATCTTCGCCTTCGTGCGTGTTTTTTTTTTTTTCCTCGCCATAGACAAGAAACAGGGACCAACCAAGAAAACCCCAAACGTAGATACTACGCTTCCAAAGAAACACACGCACCCGACAAGAAATTATTGTTTTTTGTCCGCAAGAGTCTGCCTCGCGTCGGGTAGCTCAAGACACCCACAAGATGCCCACGTAACGAAATTACGTCCAGCATTTGACCCCCCTCCCCGTCCCGGCCCTCGTACCCCCCCCCACACACACACGTCGCCCCACTTTGCCTCCCAGGATGTCGGAAAAGGGTTATTTTCCCCTACCGGACATCGTTACCGTAGACCCCGACCTGTTCAAGGCCTCCTTTCCGGAGTGGCCCGAGTACCTCCGGCACTGCCCTGATACGGCAGGGTCCCTCACTCGGCGGGAGAGCGGCTACCTGGTCGAGATTGCTCAGGAGGTGGGGGGGGGGGGGGGGGGGTGTACTCATAGTCGTGCATGCCGAAGTCGTTAGACCGTTGACTTCGCATCCCTACAAAGCCGGGACGGAGGACGCCGGGTTCTCACCGGACCAGGCTCTCCGTGAGGTATTCGGCGAGTCGCATGAAGGGTGCGCTGCATCCTGCTAAGGGTGTTCGGCATCTTGTGCTTACTTCCTTGCGTACGGATGACAGCTGCGTATGACTTAATTAATTTTCTGGTGCTTTCACTTCCGGAGACAGTCATAAGCACTGTGTAACTGCCTCGAGGATGCTTGGCCATTTTAACACAACGTGGTGCGATCATCCCCCTTGCGCGGAGTGAGGGTTCTCGACCCCGCACGACATAATCTACTCGACCACCATTATGGTTACCGCAAAAAAAAAAACAGAGGTAAAAAAAATAAACCGGTAACCTGGTTGCCGAGCTCACGAAGTGAATTGGCTTGTTTTACAACGTCGTTGCCAAGCGACGAAAACCCAATCCCGATGGCAAACACCGAGGGGGAGGCTTGTTTTACAACGTCGTTGCCAAGCGACGAAAACCCAACCCCGATGGCAAACACCGGGGGGGGGTTGTCAGGAGTTTTTTTTTTTTTAATAACCGCCTCACCGCGGCGTTTATATTTATTGCTTCTGTTTTCCGAGCGCACACTCCGCGACGCAGGACCGTTGTCGTGTTTGTCGTAGGTATAGTACGGCTGCTGTGGTGGTTGCTTTATTCTCCGGAGTGTATATCTGCGCCTCTCTTTCTCTCTCTCTCTCGCTCGCGCTCTCACTATCTCTCTTTCGCTCTCGTGAATGCTGCCGTTAGCTTCGCGGCTCATGTTTGGCCATGTCTCCATTCACGTACATGTGTGGGTGCGTCCTTACTGGTAATTTATCGTCGTCGTCTTCCGTCCGCCTTGACATGCGGTGACGCTGACGCCATCAAACCAGGTGGCGATGAGTCAGATGAAGAACATCTGGGTGGACGGGTCGCTCCGCGATAGCAAGTGGTACGAACAGGTCTTCGAAGACATCCGCAAGGTATGGCGTGTGTTGTGTTGTGTTGTGTTGTGTGGTGCTTGCTTCTTTAGTTGGTATTGACGGCGCTATTTGGCCGACCAAGTGAAAAGACGCCAGTGTTTTCATGTCGGGACAAGGGACAGTGTGCGCTGTGGACTACGCGAAGAAATGAAGTTTATCTATGAAGTAGAGAGGCATATGCAGACCCCATCCCTAACCGTACCCAACGAAATTCCGTCGAGTTTACGATTTATCTAATGTGTTCGCTTGATAAAAACCTGCCTAGGCCACTGATGCTGTTTGGGGTAGATACATTTATCTGGCACGTGAGATGTTCCCCGTGCTGCGTGGTGTGCACAAGCATCCGTGTGTTGGTAGCGTGTGTGGCGAGTAGAGAATGTGCGTGGCACAAGCGTAGATAGAGTGCGCCGTCTGTTATTTTGGTTCGTGGTGTCGGGTTTGGCGTGTGAGTGCGTCGTGCGAGACGTTTACGCGTATGACAAGTCCGGGCGGGCAAAGCGGGAATTGTCGACCTGATTTCGCTGATCCAAACGACAAGTTTAGTCCCCTGGCTCGGTCATGAACCCGAATGGCCTGATACTTTTTTATCAATCCTGGCTCGGGTTTTGACCAATCGACCCAACCTCCCTCCGATCCCACCCCCACCCCCTCCCTCAACCCCATCCATCCCCCTCTCTTCCCC